TTTTACAGCGTGTTATGACAGGGATGTTAGCCAAGGCTCCTCTGTGAGTGGGAACAAAATTAGTCCTGCTGTAGCTTCAGCCCCTTCAGCTATCATCTTTCTGCTGGAAAATAGTACTTTTATGATGAGACAGTTTTGAAAGTTCCAGCAGGAATAGACCAGTTGTCATGTAAATGCTGGAGCTACACAGTGTTGCTCTATTATACTGTAAGAGAACCAAAAGGTTTTATATTATATTAGGCATAGGAAATGGCAATCAGTCTGGCACTGTTGGCATCCTTTTGCACATTTAAGGGGTGCAATTAATAGAAAAAACTGTTCTCCTAATAACGCTGTCTTACTCACTTTCTGCAGACCTTCCAGCTGATACAAGCAGCTAAAGGCAGCCTCTGCTCTGCTGTGTGGCATTGCCTGGCCCTGACACTTCTACAGTGCCAGACTGCATTTCAAGTCAGCCCAATGCCTGAAAGCTTCCGGCTTCTCATCTTGCCGTTCGGTCCTCTTTTATTATCATTTAAACAATTCAGAGAAAAAAAGGCAGAACTGAACCAAATCATAGAGGGCAATGAACTGAGCTCTCTTCTGCTGCATTTAGCTGTTGTCCCAACTCCAGGTAATCTAGGAGAAAGCAGATGCTGGTGCTGGGGAGCATTGAGCAGAACTGTGAAGAAACCATTAACAGGGAGAGGAGTGTCTGTGTGCTGGGGCTTATCCAAAGTGGCCATTGTCACATATCTGCCTCAACTTTCCAAAACAGGTTTATTTATAGCAATGAGAATTGCGGAGAGAGAAAATGGATGTAAAGATGAAGAGCATTATGATTACATCAGCTTTTGAGATGAAGCAGTGACTCAGTGCGTGCATTCAAAAGGTCAGCTTCTGCTCTCATTCAATTATTACCTTCACCTAACCAGGACGTGTGGTCATTATCTATGAAGATGTAAGCTGTACGATGCACAAGAGTTTATCCAGGATGTTTGATTTGAGGGGTTAGTGAATGATTTCCAAGGGACTGCACGTTCTGATGAACAGAGAGGTGACAGCTTGGAGGGTTACTCTGCAGTTGGGGAGTTTGGATTTAAATATACACACATATATATATTACTTTAAATATCAGGATCCAAAGAAACCTACGATAACAAGAAAATGGAGTTGTAAGAGTTTACTTCAGTTCGTGACCTTGTGAATCTGCCTTCTGTGTGCCCTGATGGAGCTCTACGCAATTTTATTAGCTAAGCGTTAACCACCCCTCCAGACTCTGTGATTGGCTTTAAGGCTTTGGGAAAGTGTGGGAGCTAAAAAAAGCCCCAATTAAGACTGCAGTGGAAAAGCAATAAACAAACAAACAAACAAATAAATAAATGAATAAGAGACCTATCTTGTTCTTTGGAAGTGAAAAACACCATTCATTTATAGTATTTTTTTCTCATAGAAATAGTTGTGTTCTTTTTAAAAGGATTCACAGAATTACAGAATCGCCAAGGTTGGAAAAGACCTCCAAGATCACTCAATCCAATCATTTACCTACCACCATTACTTCCCACTAAGCCATGTCCTTCAGTGCCACACTTAAACCCTTCTTGGGTGACTCCACCACCTCCCTGAGCTGTTCCAGCTCCTGACCAATCTTTTGGAGAAGGATTTTTCCTAATATCCAACTTGATTGCTTGTTTGCAGCACAAAGTGGCAGCTGGTGAGGTGGGATTCCTGCAGCCTGTAACACGGCTTGTCCTGGACAAAGGGAGTGAACGCACTGTGGGATGCCTGTGAATCCCATCTCCTGGTAGGAGTACTTGCGGTTCCATCCTGGTGCCATGCTGTGAAGGAAGCACAGGACCAGTAGTGCTCACTCATGATTTTAGAAACTAAAATACATCCATCACATGATTCATTTCCATTTCCTGTATTTTTCCAATTTATTATCAGTTGGTCAGGCAGTGATCCACTGTGAGAGATGATTCCTTACACTGCACAATTCACTGTAAGATCTCACTGTGTTTTCTCCATCCCCCTCACAGTTTTTCTTTCATTTCCTATCTGGTCATTTCAGATCCATTTTTTCAGATACACAATTCTCCTCCTATTCTTAATACTCTTCATGCTCTCTGCTTCCTTCGGGTGCTGTCAGCAACTTTCCCCCACCTCCCATCCCTCCTGTTCCAGGCCAGCACTGCCTCCTTTCCTCACACACAGGCGTGGGTTCCGTCAATTGTCAGAAGCACTCCTCAGGCTCACTGCCCTCCAGGCCCACCGCCAGCCCCTGGCACTGGGGGAATGCAGGGAAGGGGAAGCTCAGCCATGCCCCCCTCATCCCTGGGGAAGCTTCCCTCCTTTTGCAGAGCTGGATGGGAAATAACATTTTTTTCCTCTTTGAAACAATTTCATGGAGGTGTGGTTGCTAATCAGTTTTACACACAGTGAGGAGAAGTTGCATGACCCCTCAGAGAGCAGTGTTGACCTGTCACAAATAAACACGTCAGAAGTCAGAGAGTCTGTTCCAGCTCAGCATAAAACTGAAAATCCACATGGAAAGGTTGTGATACTCTCTGCTCTATTTTTCAGTTCAGAGCTCTTTCAGAACACGAGGTAACTGGATAGGAATGACATCTGCATGTTATTTTGTTCTTAGAAGAAAACTCAAATAGCAGGAATGCTCATTTGCATCAGCAAAGACTATTTCCTCTACATTTTTCTCCTTGCAGTGCTCTGGACTGCCTTAGATTTATCCTTTCTCTATGACCAGGTGCACGGCTGGGATAGAACCAATCCACTCGCCTGCTTTCAGTTGCAAAAGCAACTTTTAAGTCAAACGAAACTTCCAAGTGCTGCTTAGACACGTAGGACAAGTAGACACCTGCTTAGACACTTAGACAAGTGCTCCTGTTCTGCTCAGACATGTTGCCACCTATTGACAGAAGTGCAGATCAAGAAGCCAAGACCACAAAACATTAGTTGAAACCAGAAAACAAATCAAGTGTAGATGCCACCACCAGTGATACCACTTCAGGAAGAGATGTCGATCCATTCTACCAAGTCTAACTGCTGTTCTACAACACATGGCATGAAAACAGTAATATGGAACAAAAAGGTGCACTCTGTTCAAACCTAGCAAGGTGAAAAGAGCCTGTCAATAAAAGCCAACTGTATGTGCAACTGAGGAGCTCTGAACAATACATGAAGCAATAAAACCCCAGGCACTTGATGTGCTTGATCCACATGACTTGGAATACTTGACTTCAAAATCTTCACAAATACTTCCACCTGTGAAAGATGCCACTCCCAAGGGCACTTCAGATCCCTCTTGGAAGAATAAAAAAGGCATTATCTCTCAGAAGGTGCTCAGTGGCACTTCAGTTGATACTGCTTCCCGTAGCCATGATGCTAAGCAAACAGAGCAGAAGGATAAAAAGGGAGCAAACGTCATGAATGATAAATGAGGGGAAACGTAGCAATTCATGAACTACCACAACTCTTCTCAAACCATACAGAGCTCACACTCCTGCAAGAAGATCCTGAGCAGTTATCCTGGGACTTTTCTCCTTGTTAATTTCCTGTTTAATTTCCAGGAAACATGTAAGGATTTTTTTAGCAGTAGCTCTTGTCCTCCCTGCTGTTCAGTCACAGTGCCACAGTTACCCATTCTGACAGAACAGAGACATCCTCCAACAAGCCATTCTCTTCCTTTCTTCGTCCCCATCCCTCTCACTTCCCTATAGGCAGTATCCTTTCTTGTGCTGTGCTCCATTTACACTTGTCAAGTCCTCTCTTTTTCACTATGTAGAAAATTCAAACATGTATGCATCTGTGAAATGAATAACATTAATAGCATAGCCTGGAAGGAAAAATAACAGTCTCCCATTCAGAGAACAGAAAACATTACTATTTCAGTGAGAAAAAATGAAAAATAAATGACGTTAACACAGTAAAAAACGTGTTCATTATAGTGATTGCAAGTTGCTCTGCAGATGGCTAATAAATTCTTCAAGACAACAGAAAAAAAGGTTAAACATTGACATTAAAATATATATTTCCCTGTTTTCCAGTTGCTTGCCAAATAAGACTATTTTGCTGAAATCTCTGAAACAGTCAAGTATCTCACAGATTAGGAGTTCTTACTATAATTTGATTCATAAGCATGTGTGAAAATGGATGTAAGTCACAGCCAGAAAATCCAGAGGACATGGAAAAATCTTTAAGCTCTTTCTCTTGTATAGAAAGTGAAGATCTATTATATATATAGATCATATATATGATCTATATAGATCAACTATGTTGAGATTATGATTGCACTTGCTTAGGGTACAGGTGATTTTTTTATTGTTGGAAGAGCCCACAAATAACTAACATAGCTCTACTGTTGTTTCATATGTAAAAGGTTGCACAGAGATGCTATCAGGTATGAACCAAGCACTCCCAAAATACTGGTGAGCAAAATTGCTACTGACATGCCTTCTGTAAGCATGGCAGTGGTAGCTTGGAGACTCGGCCCAGTCAACCAAGTTAACAGGAAATCAATTAAAAACTGATTACAATTTAGTTTCCAGCAAGTCCGCTGCAAGAAACACTGTTTCCAGGAGGGGAACATTTCTAGTTTACTGAAGCAAACCTTCCTTTGTGCTTCCTCCACACAAGACTTGAAAGAAAGGGATAACAAAATAAATGTAAGAATTTGCCAAGAAAGGAGGGAGAAAAGTAACAGAAGGCACCCAGAAAGGCTGCCAAGGCATAGAACATAAATTCACAGCACGTGATAAGGCCTAATTAAGTTATGTGACCTTGACGACATTGGGTTCATCTGCCACAGGAAACAGCAGCTTCTTGTTTACAATCAGATTCTCTCAGGAATAAAGCCAGTCCTGTCCAGGGAAAGGAAACAAACTTAATTGCTAGATCAGCTGGAAGGGTTTCCTGTATTCAAGGCACTAAAAAACAAAACAAAACAAAAAAAAAAGAACTGCTGATAAGTGTAAGAATACAATGAGACAACATGAGACAACACCTGAAAGTTAAATCAACACTTTATTTTTATGTCCAAACCTCTCAAGGACCAATTCCACAGGACATATCAAATCCTGGAGCCAGAAAGAAAACTTGCCTCTCCCTTCAATTGTTTTGATGGAATGCAGTCAGCTTGCGCAGATACAATTTCTTGAGGCAAAGGAAACTCAGAATCTACATGCAAACTGATCAGCAGTGCTTTCACCACCAATGGAAGGAATAACAGTAAATTCTCATCAACACCAAACAAGAAAGCATTTTAAAAACGGGTGGAGCTTCCCTGATTTCTAAACAGCCATAATCTTCCTTTCAAGCTTCAGAGTCTGTCCTGCCTTCCAGACCATCTCGACAGCTTTGAAAGCTTCACAAGAATGGTCTGTTTGAAGTGTCTGACTGCTGTCTGTAGGGCAGATCTGCTCCGACTGAATAATAAGCCTGAAATAACACCACCAAACTCACCAGTGTCTCATTCCTGCAACAGGAATAGCCTGTAACTTCAGCAAGGACAGTCAGTACCTTATGCATCTGATTCTTTCAAAGATAACTTTAAATGCTCTAAAGAGAAATGCATCCAGCCTGCAGGAAATACCTTCCATCCTTTGCTACCACTACAACTGAAAGCTGCATTGTGCAAATAGTGACCTCAGCATGTAATAGCACTGAAAGCAGCAGCATGGAACACCACAGAGTGTTTCAGTAGTGACTGCAGCCACTGTAATAGTACAGCTGAGCTTTCCATCACAGAGTGTGTGCTCATTCATCTTCTCTGAACTAATATGCGAGTTGACAAGATATATAAGAGCAGAAATCAGCATTCTGTATTTTCCAAATAACAGAAAAGGTTTGGATCATTATTACTAAGCACAGGGCTTATCCAGGAGGGGAAAGGGACAACTATCATCCACGCTCCTACTCAATCTAGTCTAGCTTTTTAAATTTTAATGGTATTAAAAGTTACTCTATGCATTAAAATATATAGCAAAATAGTATAAGCTAATAAAAAGGACTGTAATTTTATTGTAGGATATTCTGAAAGCTAATCATCAGAACATAGTTAATTTCTGCTTAGGACTCTTGAAAATTACAGGTTTAGGTAAGAGTGCTGAAAAACACCAAGTAATCCTCCTGGCCCAAGAGCCTCTTGTGGAAAAAAAGACTTACCAGGGAGCAGAAACTGCTGCAGAGGTGCTCCTCGTGTGTACAAGATGATTAAAGGCAGATTGAATTTTGCACACATTAAGGAGATGGAGCACCACTCCTCCAGCCCAAATGCTGCTGGTCAAAAGAATCCAGCCCAAGCTACATACACCCAGTTTGGCACAAAACCTCTAAGCAAAGGCTCACTTAAAGGAAAGAACCTCCCTGATGGTTGTTTCAGATTCATAAAAATGCAGCATCTTCTGATTACATTTGTGTTGTATGTTTTAAGTGCCCAGGATTCATTGAGAAGTAGAAAAACACAGGAAAACTTAAATTTTTCCTGCCTCTGGAGATGAAGGACTGACATTGTAAGATTGCTGTAAGTCACAAAAACTACCAATTCAAAAGAGAGCTGGCTTTCCAAAGATAAGATGTTGCAGAGCAATGGGTGGTACTTACTAACAGGCACTGCATGCCCTACTCGTGCCTCTACAGAAGATCACAGCAGAAAACAAAAGGCAAAAATTGATTGAAATTCACTTTATTCCAAAATATGTATAATTTACAGGACTAAATAAGTGCTTCACCTGTGAACACAAGGTTTCAATACTTGTGTGAATAACTTACTAGTAGCTCTGTGTAACAGTTCAGTTTCCAACATAAGGAAATACGAATCAGTATTTTGGCAGAGTTTTTTTTGTTTTTTGTTTTTTTGCTGCATGCATTGATATACTTAAATGTTTCACAATTGTTAGGACAACATTCCTTCTTTGGGACTGTAAAACAGGTATCAGAAACAAATACTTGCTTTTCTCTGCTTATTGCAAGTTTATTGGCTTACATAGCAAGAATCAAACATGAACAACCTTTGAAAACCAGATTTGCCTGCTAGATCCCACCAGTGATGAGAGTATTTTCAGGACATTGCTCAGCTTTATTAACTCACACATGCTTTGGGAAAGGCTCAACCATGAGATGCATTACTCATCATTCTAAATAGTTACAAGTTTAAACTAGATCAATATCAGGTTTTGAATTCTGTAAGTTGAAAAAATATGGCTACTTTCATACCTAGCTTTATTTTTACCATAAATGCACTTGCAAATATCTGTAAAATAGAGTACTGTCAATCTAGCTCTGCAAGTGCCTGAAGCATGCATGTAAAGCATTCCTCACTGTGAAATGGCTACAGCAGGGCTTACTTCATCACAAGCCACCCATCATATTCCACTGCTAGTTACACTGAAGATACTCCTGAAAAACCAGCACATGAGAAAGAGTCAGAAGTGAAGGACTTCTTTTAACTAGAGATCTGCAGCTCAGTCAGAGATTTGCACTGTTTCAGGCTGTCTGATGACGTTTTCAGTAAAGAGGAAGAGTCACACACATGAAGACAAACATCAACCTGACTGCATGGCAACGCAGAACTGAACAATGTAGTTCCTTGATGCTGTTCACTGCACAGCAATGGCACTTTAAACAAGAAAATGCAGTCATGCTCTAACCAGTAAATCCTTTTAGCACCCATTTTGATTCACGTGAACCACAGAAAGAAACAACAAATCAAATCAAGACCCACCACAACAAAAGGAACAGAAGATGCACGTTTGCACCATGCATTGAAGCAGCTTGCTGTTCAACAACCCTATCCTCATAGTGTTCAAGCGGAATTGTTACGGAGGTCTGTTCACAGTAGATCTATTTTGAACACAAGCATAGCAGCACCTTCAACCAAAGAGGAATGAAAAAGCTCACAACATTAGAAATATTTTGGTGTGAATGTATTTGGAACTGTAAATTGTACATTGAGATGATGGTAAAAAAAGAAAGAAAGAAAAATGTCAAAAGTAGCCAAAAGGAAGCTGTGCAAACTGATAATAAAGGCAAGTAAGTTTGGTTCACCTCTGAGTTGTCATTTCAGTAACATTTTGCAAATTTAGCACCTTACATTGATTCAGTATGGTTCTATTGATCTTACTTATCCCACATTTGAAAGGTTATTAAAAAAAAAAGTCAAAATCAAACCAAAAAGCCCTGAAGACCCTAAGATCCCAACCCTGCCAATGCCTACATCTCTTACCCAGCCACACAGAAAGATCAGTTTGCATCTGTCTCTGCACGTGAAGGTGTGCTACCACAGTAAAGACTTAAAACAGTGGAAGGCAGTCACCTTCCTTTGTTCTGTTGCCTCTGCACTCTCAAGGTATATGGCTAACAAGGAAATTTAACCTTTTGCTTTCTTTCAATTGAGAAAAGATGTGAAAGTGAGTCTTGAAATAAAACATGGAAAGGATTGTTAGTTACATGCATTAAGTTACAGACCCTGAACTGTTTAAAACTGGAGTTTTTTACAGCTTTTAAAGTTAAATAGCTGCACACATCTTTTTCCTTAAGATTTCACATCCTTTGGAAGGGAGAAGTTTCCAGACACAAACAGTTTCACATAGCTAGATTCTGGAGCATTAGTACTTTAAACTAGCAAGATCTCTTAGGCTGCCTTTAAGAGCCAGAGGAGGACTCCCTCCATTCCCAAAGCAGAAACAAGCATATACAGCCATGGTAGTGGAAACGGACATAAGCCTAACTCCAAAAAGTAGAAGAAACTCTATTTACTGTCATACAAACAAACATGTAAGGCAACAAGACATGATGTAAGACAGAACTCTATTTTTTTTCTCTTTTTCTGAGGCTGTTTTGTGCTTTTCTTAGAATGTGTGTCCTACGTTTTCTTGGAACACAGTTAACTTTTCTAACAGTCAGTGCTCTCCCAGAAGCCAAAAGTTTCAAGTACATCTGCTCAGTTTTGCCCACTCACGCACACTAACAGCCAGTGGGGGATTACAGCCATCAGTTGACCAAACACAGGTGTAAAATTTATCTTTTTTTCTTTCCAGAGAAGCTGCACTGAAGAATTCAAGCATGGAACTTAATGTACACACAACTGTATTCTTCTTAAACAGCACAAAACTAAATTCTGCAAAGATAACTGTGACTTATGATTATCCTCAGCTATCTGAAGAAAACTAAGACACTGATATTTTGAAATTGTTTAAAACAAATTGGATAGCATAGCTAACAAATTCACCTTTCCCGACCAGTTCTTAGCAGAATGCTGTAGTCTCAGCAAGATTGAAATTACAGTAAACTAAATGCAGGAGGAAGGTGTTTGGTTTTTTTTCTGACACCATGATGGACCATGAAGAATTTGGAAATAGCCTGACCAACCGCAGCAATTTGTCAGACTCTGCAGGTTAGTGGAGCACTATCTTTCCCAGAGACAAAATACTGGACTTGCTGAAGCAGTGGTTAAAAGACAGTGGCATATCTCAGACTTTCTTCTTAAATACAAAAGAAACACACAAGTCTACCACTAATTAGACTAATTAAACTACTAATTCAGTTTTAGAATAGTATTTACACAGACATCCAGATCAAGAGCCAGCAATGGCAGCGTAACTTAATTAAGCAGGAAATGCAAAGAGCAAGCACAAGTAGTATTAGTATCACTTCCAGATAAAAGTTTGTGCTGAAAGGTTGTGGACAACCTGATGTTACTTTTCATATAGCAGCTCAAATGGCAGTGGAGGACACAGAGGAGAGAATGAGCAAAATAGTAAGTCACTACTGACCAATACTTACAATAGAGTCAGAGCCTTGAAAATCAAATCAGAGTCAAACTGCAGAAAAAGGGAGATAAGTATCATTTTAGTACTACCAAGAAATAGCTCTCAGTGAAGTTTATTTTGAAAACAATGGTCAAAATAGTCCATTACCCATTTAAAATCAATTGTTTCATTTTTAAGAATAAGCAATATTGACTAATGATATTTTGGACCAGTTTTCAGTAGCTTTACTGTGGGATTCAGCAACTACAAACAGCCTGATTGCAGCCTTTGCGTTTTCACAAAAATATTTAATATATCCAAAATGAAGGACATATGCCACCAGTGCAGGACTCTGATACTTATCAGATCACTGCGTTGACTTCAGTATGGCAATGTAAAGAGTGGTAAGATAAAATCAAAAGGTACTGCTCATTTTCAAGAAAACAAGCCAGCTGTGTTGGGTGAGTAACTGTGACTGTACTCCCACATCCTTGAGCTGAAGATATGAAGCTGTGCACAAAGCATAGCAAGTCTTCAAGAACTGCAGCTTGGACAGCCGTTAGTGATGGGACGCCTAGCAAACACACAGCCAGGACCTCCAACAACAGAGAAGTAAAGCCCAGGAACATGACATAAAGGTGTTCCATTTTTCAATTAATGTAATAGAAACTAAAACCTGTCCAGGACAAAACCAGAGGCCTACATTTCTGCAGGCATTACAAGAAGATAAGAATCAGTTAAGGCCAAATTCCAGCATACATTCACAACTGGCTTTGTTTTTTCCATGTGAATACCTCTGCTACAAGCACAGTACAAAGGGTAAAATAAACATACAAAAATCCAAGAGGTCACATGTTTCTCTTTGACAGATCAGTCCAAGTTTTTGATTACACTCAGAAAACTTTCCAAAAGCTGCAGGAACCACCTGCTCCTGACCAATGTGCAAAAGTAAAATACATCTTTTCTGAAGGGTTTTTGGGAGCACATCTCCCAGCTCTGTTGTATGCAGGTGAGTTTGCTTCAGTTCTGGAAGCATAAATCCAAGTACAGGAAAAGAAGTATTTCACAGAATTCAGTTTCTCATCCTTGATGGTTTTTGTTAAGGTAGTGGAAATATAAACCATTGTGACATTTCCCAACTTACATCTTCATAGGAAATAGAGGAATTTCAGAGATAACAAACCATCCCAGTTTCTGAGGCACAACCATTGTAACATGTGTCTTACAGTCTCAAATAATTCAAGCAAATCCCTTCTGAAGACTTTAAATTACTTTAGTCCCATTTATGACACGGGGTAAAAGGACATTGTAACAATTTTCCAACTGATCATGTATTCTAAGCTCTTTTTCTACCCTTCAAAGGGCATCAGTAGCACCCGGGAAGAACAACTATTGTTTTCTACATGTTTTGCAAACCATCAGCCCTCCATAATTCAAGTCTACATGTATCTATGGCTGCTGGACGGGTGCTTAAGTTGCAATGTTCCGAACAGGAGAAAGAGCTGTGAAGGCATAAAGGAAAAGACAGTACGGCTTATTATGTTCACACCAGATGAAAAATACAACCTACCAAAAAAAGTAAGCAGAAGTAGCTTACACTAAGAGAATCCTCCCCTGCAATTCAGGGAAGCATCTGAATTGGACAGGACAGGTTTTGGTCTAGCACAGTGGAACCCTATACATAAGCCAGAAATAGATACACATGGGACACTTTCAAAAGGTTCTTCAGTTTAAATGAAGCAGCTTGTATAGAAGATTGAGCAAAAAACATAGGCACCACAAACTGTTTTTTTAAGGTTCAAATGTACATTAACATGTTATGCCCCCCCCCCCCCCCCTTTATGCACAGATAACTTATGTTGAAGTTACATTTTCAATTTAGTACCTTCAGCATGAAAAGTCTTTTAGGCCAACCGCACACAGTAACTACATTCAACAATGCGAAATGGGTTACTTGGTCGATGCATCTCTCCCACCCCAATAACTTAATTTCAAACCACAGGAAACAGTTCTGTCACACAGTACTCAATGACTGGGCTTGTCAGAGCTCTGAAACAAGGAGCACAGCTCTTCACAGGTCTGTGTCTCTACTGAACTGAACTGGGACTCCATTGTATTCCAGGCTAAGTCAGCCAGAAGAAAGTCATCCATTGCTGTCTGTGTCTCGTTGCTGGTAAGGAATAAATTCCCAAGATTCTCAAAGCAGCTATCCATAGTCTGTGTTTCAGCACTACTGAGCTGGACTTTGCTTTCTATGCTCTGGTTGGGTACGTTTTTAGTGGCAGGATATACTTCTGTCTGGGTTTCTGTATCTGAGGAGTCAGTGCTCATGGAGAAACTAGACTGCTTCAGAATACTTCCTAAAGGCAGATGGGTATTGCTGTCCAAAAAGAAATTCAAGTCTGTTTGCGTCTGTGTATCAAACATCTCCAAACCTAAGAAGTTAGAATTTCCTCTGCAGCTGTATGATTGAGTGGCACTATCTGAGAATAAGAAATCAGTTTGAGTTTCAATATCTAGTGACTCCAAAACTGGCTCGGAGGGTAGGGTACCAAGCTCACTCTCTTCAGTCTGAGTTTGGATATTGGACGCTGAAAAGAACTCTTCAATGTCAAAGTCTATTCCAGTGCTCTGCGATGAACCAGATGGCAGATGTGTGTCAGCATTAGAACTAGTCTCAGACAAAAGGCCACGATTATCCAGTGTCTGGCCAGACATGTTTCCTGAAAAGATATTTTCCAGATCACTTAGCAAGTCCATTGTCTGAGTTTGATTATCCATCGTATTTTGAGGTGGAAGAATATTAGCCTGGCTACTGAAGCCAATAAGAGATTCAGACTTCACTGTGTCTTGATTGAGGCTCTTGCAATTACTCCTCTGCAGCAAGGTTTGATCTATATTTGTAGCCATTAAGTTATTTTCTGGAAGTTCAATTTGAGTAGAACCATTATATGATGAATGAACATTTTCAAAGATGTCACTGCACATTACAGCCTGGTCCATTTGCACTCGTCCATCGATAGAATCCTGCGTCCTACTGGTTTGAGTCTCTCTAGAAATGCCACACGTTGGAAAACAAGCCTGACTAAAATCATCAGTCTGAGCAGCTATGGACGAAGTCAGTTTGGAAGCAGGCAGTAATGTCTGTGTCTGTACACTGATGGGTAATGAAACCTGTGAACTAAACGACAGATCTGTCTGAGAACAAGAAGATACAGAAGAATCGGGAGTCCAGGCTGCAGCTGGTACAAAATTTGGAGAAATATAAGATAAGTCAGTCTGTACATTTATTGAAGAAATTTTATTCTTGTGACAAACATTCCCCAGCTCTTGTCCTGGGCTATTTGATGCAACCTTATCCAAGTCAACTTGTACACCAGTACTTACTGCTTCGTTATCACCAGAGTTTGTCACTTTTGAAACTGGCATAGTATCTTTAAATACAAGTGTTTCCGCCTCCAGTGCTGGAATCAGAATTCCCACAGATTGAGGCAATAAATGAACAGTACTTACAACTGAACCTTGATTATCAACAGCCACTACAACAGGCTTGACAGAAGAATCTGCTGCAGATACATACACAGGCAAGTGAGCAAGCTGCATCACTGGAAGTTTAACCAAAGCCACCCTGGGCTTTGGCAAAAGCATCTTCGGTGTACATTTTGGGTGCACTTGCTTTGTGAAGTTAGAATTGCAGGAACCTTCAAAAGATGCCACTAGTTTCACTTCAGATGATTCCAGCTCCTGAGTCCCAGGGTTATTACTGTGTGTATCCATGAATGCTTTATTTGCTTTCTCTGACAACTGCTGATTATGTACAGAGGTTTCCATTTTCCTTTTCTTACTAGGAGGATCCCTGTGAATATGAGATCAATAATTTATGTTCCCTTCAAGCACAATACATCTGCCTTCCATTTTTTGAGCCACTGCATTGCAAATATTAACTCAAGTCCCAGATGAGGCTGTATAGGACTAATCCTGATCAAAATAAAAAAGATCTCCATGAACTTCTGTTTTGTAAAACTTCATGCCTTATTCTCCCATTAAAAAAAAAAAAAGTTTCTGCTTTTATGAAGATCTATGTTCTAAGTGGAGATTGAGACTCAGAGGCTTTCTCCCCTTTAGGTGTTAAACACTGATCTGAAGGCAGTTATGCTGTGATTTTGATGCTAGCTCAGACTGAACATTGACAAGAGGGGTTTATGAAACTGTTGTCAGGTAAAGGTCTCTCACAGAAAATGAGGACACAATTAATTTTTGTGTAAAGGAGCAATAATTTTGCTGCAGCTGAACCTCCAAGGAAGATAGGGTATGCCTCAGGAAACAGACTGCCCTTTATGAAACACAGGTACACCTGAAAACAACTATCAATCAAAACATGCATTAAAAAAAATAAATCCACTTACAGTAGCAAAGTTGACTAGGCTATACAAGAAAAACTCAATTGCATTGCACACCACCATTACAGCTGTAAGCACTTCCAAATCATCTCTACTTCCACAGAACTGTAAAAGCAGTTCCAACAAGAACCACAAACATTTATGCCATGCAGCAAAGTGTCATCAGTAACTTGCTGATGGAACTTTTTGGTTTACATACAGGGAAAACTGATGGTATTGATTAGACAACTGTCCTTGCCTGAAACAAAACAGAAACTGCTAAGAGCAACAGAACAAAGAAATGGCGAATTGCTTTATAGCTAAAACAATCTCAGCTAATCTCAAACACTGTCAACAGAAAGGAGACAGAAAGCCGGTACATGGGGGACAGAGGACTCAGGGAAGCATACAAGCAGCAGTACTTAATTGCTTCAATTTTACCTGTGTTCCGCAGGAATTTCATGTCCCGTTCTGTAAATATGAGACAGTAAAGCTGGTCTGCTGGCATAGGGACACCCACAAGTACACCGGAAAGTCTTGCCACAGTCCTCTATATGCCGCTTCAAATACCATTCCGTACCATAGGAGTTACTACATTTGTCACATTTGTGCTTCTTTTCAGCGTGCATCTTCATAAAGTGCTACAATACACAATGAAAAGTAAACATTAGCCTTCAGCCAAGTCACTTTCAGGGAACCAATATTTGTATATTTTTCTTCAGTTGTTAAATAGCACTGAGAAGCAGGATTAAAATCTTTTGAAATGTCTCAGTAGGAAAGGCTGCCCAAGATGTCAGGCAAGAAGTGGAATATAACAACTAATGAGACTTTATTTGCACATACTTTGTGTGTACACAAAGTTCATGCTATGTTCAGCTCTCCAAGCTACGAGAATGAAGTACTGGGAGGCTCCTGATCATGTTAGCTCTGTATCAGCAGCTTCCACCACTTCAAAATGCAGGTACAAATTTATGTGTCCTGATAAAATATGAATTTTCTTATTGTTCTTGTCTTACTGGCTAGAGGTTAATCTTGCCAAAGAGCCTATGCTGCAACAGGTAGATCCTCTTGACAATCTACTACTGAGCAAACAGTATCAAGTCAAACAGGACAACTGCGGAGCACCAGAAGAACTGTTGCTTCTCATCTATGGCATTTATGCAGCATTCATCTCCTATGGTCCAGGCTTCCACAGCTGACCAACAGAAGTATGTTTTTTGATTTTTCACAAAGAAATACATTTTACGTGTTTTCTTAATCGGATGTCTTGTAAGCAAATGTATTTTGATAGTAAAACAAAAAAAATGTTAAACCTTGACCACTGGAAAAAGCATTTTAAAAGCCTCTGCTGCATTTCAAACTCTCATTGTTTGCTGCTGATTTTTTCCCCTCTCTGATCTTTGTCAGTCTTACTAATTTGCGGAGAGCAGCTGTCAATTTTAGCAGAACATACCACCATCTGCCTCATCAAAAGCTTCAAGTCCTCTGATGCAAATTCACCAACCATATGCCCACATGGAGCTTCTGCACATGTAACTCCAAGCCCTGTATACATGCTGAGGACTTGCTCCTGTCTGAATGAGAAAGCATGCACTCTAGAGTAAAGATGGCCTGGAACAAACTGGTATGATATTGATCTGTAGGAAAAAGGAATACCTGTTTTACAAGAGAAAATTGGGAAAATGGTCTGTTTGGTCCTCTGGGGCAGCCTTCAATAGGACAGCAGTAGAATTTCTGTGGAGTTTTCAAACCCTTCCTTATCGGTGCATTAAACTTTCCATCCTAAAAAACAATAAATTGAGAAGCTGACAACAGTTCTACAGGTTTGTAATTAAAGGCAGCATTCAGAATACACCTCAACTTTGGCTCAATTATTTTACACACCTCAACGAGTTGAAAGCACTTCACCAAGCATATGGGAAGTTCTAATGGAATTTTCCACCTCTATGGATACTATCTTGCAAATTCATCAAAACTACTGAGTGAAATCATAACAAGCTCCATGAAGTACTGGTACTGTACTACCTACCTCCTCCAAGATACTTGCTCAAGGCTGCAAGATACACCCATCTATTACATTATTTGAGCCAAAAACCTTTTTCCCACAGGAAATGAAGTTATAAACCAAAATTCGTCCAGCCTACAAAACTGACAGCTGGTATGTCAGTTCTGGAACTCCAAACATGAATTCACCTGTGCATTCCAATAACATGATACATATAAAAACACAATAAAAATATACCACGAACCTCACAAGAATTATCACACAGACACAACGAAAGAAAGAAACATTAAGTGGCTCAGAGACAACCACAGAAATACCTATAAAAGGGACACACTGACGGGAACATCCAAATTATTCAACAACAGAGAACCTATTGCTACTGAAAACACAGCCATAGAAACCAGCCAAGACACATGTATAACCTAACCAAAGGAGTCTTTGTGGAAATACCAAGTGACTGTATTACCAAAAAGTTAAAAGCAAATTACGAGCAAAAGCTGATGCTCTGGTTACCTGGGAGTCTCCTTACACCATGAGCAGGAGGCCGACCCAGAGCCAATTACAGCAGCCTGCAGTGGTTTCTCCAGGTTCTTTGCTCAGATAGGAATTACCAGCACAGACCTTGTTTGAGATCTGCACCTGATTTTCCTCAGTATGATAAGAGTAGAAGGAAGCAGAAGTGGTGAGATGTGGAAGCCATGGCAGTGACTGACTCCCCAGCTGCTTTCTTTGGGCAGAACTCCAGTCTGTCATGTTTGCACAGGTCAGACCATACGCAGGACTCACAAAGTGCAATAGGCTCAGGTGTCCAGCTGACACTTCTCACAGCTATCATTTCTCACACTAAATCCCCACTACCAGAATAATTCTGTCAAGGGGGAGTTTTCTTGTAACGCTGTAGCACTTCAAGCAACTTCGTGGGTGTGCAGCAGCCTTTCCCATGGACAAGCTATTCAATAGCAGGCGTGTTTTATCTCTGCTGAATAACCACTGTGAAATCTGGTTGTTACAGCCCGTTTGCCTGCCATTACACTCTTCAACTCCAAATTTTTGCAGAAATAATTTCACTAGATGCAAGTCTTCAAGCCTTTGGGAGGAATAACATTTATCCCTTTAATCAAAGCTGTATTTGTTCTCTCCAAGTGCAGATGAAATCGGCAGGCTTAGTAAGCAGCAGTTTGAGTTATTTATTCAAAGCATGCTACATTTAACATTGCAATCCAATAAATGACAGGGAAATATGTTCAGGCACTCAGCAGGTATACCACAGCCAGATTTGAGAAATGACTTCAGTACTAAGATGTGGAATAATGCCAAGTGTTATCAAAAACACATAAATATAAGTAAGAAGACGCAACAGCTGGAACACAGATTTTCCAGGTGCAGATCTGTTGTGACAAGTTGAGAGACTCCGTATGCATACAAGTAACCCCAACCAGACACTATCCTTGTTTTGACTTTCTTCAAAGCCCTCCTGGCTCTACATGGTTAATCACACACATTTCAGGCATTCTCACAAGTCCTTTCTTTGTACAACTGATTTTATTCCCCGCATTTCTGCAATGCCTACTGACAGCTTTAGTGGAGGCATTTGTTGCACTAACACCTCACAGCACAGCCAGTTGCACTGCAAGGAGCACTAACACTTGGGACTTGTACCAACAGCAAGGAGGAGCAGGCAGCAGCAGTCTGTGCTACAGATTTAGCCAAGGTGAACTTTGTGACGTCTGGCTTCCCTGAAGCAGGTTTATTCCGTCTGCTGGATTAACTTAAAACGGTACCTTACAGTAGACTACAGGCAAGCATTCACAACATTCCTGAAAGTAGGAGATGATAACACTGAGAAATAAGTCCACTCTGCTTTAGCATAAGAACTAAGTGTAACATTTGCATTGGGTCACCTACTCGGAGGGCAAGCTGCACACTGCAGTGCAGCACTGATGGCAGTCTCCTTGTTATCACAGGAATCCACTGAATCCTCTCCTTTACATTAATTCCTCTAGATTCATTTTTAAACTACATAAAAGTCTTCCTCTTCTCCCCATAAAATAACACAGACAAAAGACAGAAGCATTCAAAAGTTTCCAAGCCTAATATATTAAGTGCCAGTTTCTAAATTAAATGTCACTGTTCTCATGTTTTCATTGGCTCAGTTAAGCCAAGAAGCCAGAAAACAAACAGCTAGAAATTAACATTTCACCATTTCTTCTCTGGTAGGCCAAACAAGCCTATTTTTTTTTAATTTCCCTTCATCAGACACACCTGCCATTTAAAGTTGTCGAAGATTCCATGCATCTTTGGTGTTTCACCTTATTTGAATCAGATTCTTACCCTGCCACAGAAAGCCAATATCTTTCTGCAATATTCCACGCCTGTCCTTCCCACAACAGCACTACCCTATCAGTTACATCTGCAAACAAACAAGTTTCACAAGTGTTTCCCATCTCAACTACTTCTGTTACAAACCAAGACTGATCAATTTTCTGTTACAGGTTCACAAAAGAATAATAACACCACTGCATGTAACTCTGTTTTTACAGGCTCATCTTGCTTTCTATGTAAATACCTTCCACAGTGACAACGCCTCACTGTTTTTGTCATCAAAAGATCCTGCTGTACTACTTTTATTAATGCAAATTAACCATGCCAGCCTCCTTTCTTTTCAGAATTACTACATTGCCCAGTACCTCCTTACTCTCTCATTTGCTAAGCATTACTTTCAATAATTCTTCATGTTTTGCTGACAAATGCAGTCTACTAAACTATTTTTCTGCCCAAGGAGGTTGTGGATGCCCCATCCCTGGAGGCATTCAAGGCCAGGCTGAATGTGGCTCTGGGCAGCCTGGTCTGGTGGTTGGCGACTCTGCACATAGCAGGGCGTTGACACTAAATGATCACTGTGGTCCTTTTCAACTGAGGCCATTCTGTGATTCTATGATTTTTGTCTTGGGAATCAAATCTCTCTTAAAGGGAAAAATTCCTGTATTAGTTTAACTCCATCCCCTTCTGGAGACACAGAGTAACAAACTTATATTTTACTTTAGTACTCTTATTCTCCCATTCAAGATGCAGACTGAAGACATGCATAACACTGAATATGTTTTACCTGAAAGACAACATGGAAAATTTGATCTCCCTTAAGCCTTGGTAATATTCTCTCTCAATGATGACATTGAAATAAGCCAGATGTTTCTGGGAAGCTGTATGCAACCTCAAACTGTATGTTTCAGTACCTCCCCAAGCTGGATTTAACAGAAAGGCGCATGAAACACATTACAGTTACACAGGGCACTAAGAAGTCAGCTCAGAGAGAAGCACTTCCTCACTCACCTTAACTCTGAAACACACTGCTACTGCCCTCGCAGCATCAGGGGGCTGCTGCAAACACCCAGACCCAGTTCAAAACTGTCTGCTGAGCCTGAAGGTCCACTTTAAACTTCTCTTGTACCTCTACCCATAAATACATGTATGCAAGGCATAATACATATCAAGACAAAAGTTGTTGGTGCGTATTGCATTTCTATTCAGTTTTTTTTTTTTAACTTTTCACTGTTTTCAGATAGGAATTGTAATGCTGAGATTCACAGCAAGTATCCTTGAGATCATTTCCTCCTCCTCACAAATGATGGGCTGAAACGCGCTGTCGATTTCTTCCTTTGCTATTTCCGTAAACAACAGTTAATTGTTCACCCTCTGTAGCTGCTTCTTCCCAATGCAGCCAGGAACGCCGTGCTCATAGTTCTCCAGGAGTGGCATTCACCCCCACACCCCCTGCACGGGGACTCGGAGAAAAATAAGAGCAACTTGCTGTCAGGCCACCCTCAGTCACCCACCCTCCTCCCCACACTCGCTGCATTTTCTCCATAGTGCCGTGGCAATGAGTGCTTCTCTCCAAAATGGCACCCACAGCTTCTCGTGTTGTCGCTCACCGACATTAACGACAAGTAAAGCAGACGGATGACCCAGCAGAGGCCGGGCACGGCCTGCACACTCTGCCAGCCGCTGCCCATGCTGCGGGTGCACCTCCCAAGCCATGGAAAAACAACCGATACACCGAAAGGAATAACAGAAACCGAGTCCCGAACTTTGAACTGCCAGCACAGCGGCACGTAACGGGTAACACCCCGCACACTGCTGCGGTGCAATCCTCCACAGTCCGCCCGACCTGCGCGCACACCGATGCATTTACGCATGAACCCGGGCACGCTTCTTCGGGGGGGATCTACCGAGACGCCGCGCGATACCCGCTCCCCCAGCAGCCCAGCGGGTACCGGCGGCCATCACCGGAGCCGGGCGGTACCTGGAGCCGGTGGGCCTTGCTGAGGTGCATGTTGAGAGCCGGGCTGTTGGGCAGCACCTTGCCGCAGCCGGGCACGGTGCACAGGATGTTGGTCCTCACTTGGGACAGCTCCGTCACCGAGGGCCGCACCAGCTCGCGGGCGGGCGGCGGGTCCCCCGCGGTTGGCTGCCCCACGGCCCCGCCGCGCCGCCCCGCCGCCGCCATGTTGCTGTCAGGTGCTCGCGCCCCGCTTCCGGGGGCGGGAAAGAGGGGCGGGGAACGGCCGGTTCGTCACGGAGCGCCCGCGGCGCAGCTCGAGTTGCGCGTTAGCGAAGTGAGGAGGGCGCTTGCGGCCGCGTCCTGGTGCTCACCGCCGAGCCTGTTTTCCCTGTAATGCCCGTATTTAATTGTGATGCAGAATTTTGAAGCTTTACAATAAATCCCTCCCTCGATTTGGGAGAGCACGTCAGGAAATGCGCAGCACAGACTGAAATGCCTACTAGAAGCTTGGTGGCACCGATTCCTAGGGTGCAGTGTGAGGAACAAAGGGCCAATCCTTCACGTGTACAGACTGCAGCATCTGCACCAAACCTGGGCTTGTTTCAGACCCCCAGCTCAGCGCTTGGCAACACTGACACTGAAGTCGCAGGTGGAAGGACTGAAAAAAAAATCTGTCATTAAACAGATAGTCACAGAATCACAGGGTTGGAAGGGACCTCAAGGATCATGAATCTCCAACCCCCTGCCACATGCAGGACCACCAACCTTCCCATTTAATACCGGACCAGGCTGCCCAGGGCCCCATCCAGCCTGGCCTGCACACCTCCAGGGACGGGGCATCCACAACCTCTCTGGGCAGCTGTTCCAGCACCTCACCACCCTCTCTGTTAAGAATTTCCCCTGCCAGTCCTCAAGTAACTTCTTATGAACTTCTTATGAAGGTAGATAGAGATGCTGGAAAAAATAAATCTATACATTAAGTCACGCTTCAGAAAAGAAGGCCAAACAAACTTCTATAAGAGGTCTTAATTTACACATTTATTTACAGTTTGAAAACAAAATTAATTCCCATACAACCTCTCCAAACAGTTATACTTTGTCATGAAGCTTTTTCAAAGGACTGCCTACCAACATATCATACAGAAGGCACACACACAGTATGCGTCCAGGTAGCAGAATTAAGAAACAAGCATTTGTTTGACACTTCAGTGCAAATTAATCTCTTAAAATAATAATACAGCCAGTTACATAGAAATATTTACATAATTACCAATTGCTATTTACCAACCCTAGAGAACAGCACTGCAAAGCCGCTGTTTGCACGAGTGGATGCTGATATCTTGCTTCTGCAATCTTTGTGTCCCTAAGCTCAAGAAACAATAATGTACAAAGACTGCAGAGACCACATGTTGAATGAAACAGACATTCTAAAACATAGACTACCTCCAAAGAAAACCATTGCCAGCGTCACTGTGTTCCTGTGAGCTGGTATTTTATAGGATACTGATATCAGGAGATAGAATTTTAAAAGTTTAAAATATTTATTATTGGCTGTCACAATTGGTGAGTGAGAACTCTGGAGCTGAATAGCCGGTAATGCTGCATGGAAGTTTCTTACAGATGCCTCTCAGAGTCTCTTCTCCCCTACACTCTGCAACAGTCTTTAAATGTAATCTGCATCTACAAAGACAAAAACACACCCGACCTGAAGCAGAGTGGTAGTTCCACCTATTTGAATGGAGCTATTCACGCGCTCAGAATGGGCATGTGTTGTGTTTCACTGCTGTCCTGCAGCTGAAATAAGGACACCTACAGTTATGACAGTAAACTGAACAGAACACGTCTCACCTGTCTGCACCAGGCTTTAGCATCTAACAGCAAATACAGATAAAAGTGGTCATCACATTTAAACTTTAAATAATCATGATTTCTGTTTAAAATTCACTAACAGTGTCCTGTTAGTTTACGAGGGCTAACCCGAAGCCAGAAATAAAAAAGGGTTTATCAGAGAATAAGGCTGTTTTTAAAATCTGTTTTAAAGGTGATTGGATTAATAGCAGTAATAAATGAATCACACATTTTGATATAAAAACATTTCTATTTAAATTAAGGGCTTACAAAGCTTCCTGGATGTAAAGACTTCTTCTCTCTAATTTTAAAGTAATTTCTAGCTTTTTGTGGAATGCATGTAAGTAGTGGTGAAAGTGGTGCATCAGCCAAACCTGTAGAGACAAACAGGTAATTACAGCTTAACTCAGGCAGTATTCACATTTCACAACTGTCACAAAATTGAAAACAGAGTTTGAATACCTACTATTGAAAATAAACAGGTATATATTTACACATTAAATTTTAGAGGTAACAATTTCATTCTATTTATTTCTATATATTTCCCAACTGTGCAGGTTCTTCTATGCAATCTACAAGCAGAATGTAAAATGATTAAAATGTTTAACTGTGGATTTTTCCTCTCTTTTACAGAGTTGCACTACTTACCTGCTGGTGCCAAGGATTTCAGTGATTCTAAAAGATGTGGACTAGAAAACTTGACCAAACATCGGAATGGCTCTTTTTTCTCCAAAACATCCCATTTAGGATTACTTTTAAACATTGTCTCAAGCTGTTAAGATAAAATTATCAAGCATTATGAACAATGCATGCATTTTATGTATTTATTATTCACATTAATATTTATAACCATAGAATCATTAGGTTGCAAAAGAAACTGCATTTTCTCTGACATGATACACCCTAGAAGAACTGTGCAGCCATATGCCAAATAGCCTGTAGAACAATGAGAACAGTTACAGTTGTAATGTTTCAGTTTGGTTGTAGTAGCTGCATTTAATCTTCAAAGCCAGTTGTTGTCCTCAGCTTTACTTCTCTCTAAGTAGACATCCACCTGAAAATTATTCTGGAAAGCTCAACTTGTAAGTATATGGTGAATTTTAAAAACACATTTTCTAACATTGGGAGTGGAGAAATTTCAGCTACAATGGCTGAAATCTTTGAATTTAGATACTTCATTTCAGAATTACAGCCTAGACCCAGAACTGCAGCTTCTCCCTCTACACTGGCATATATGGACATTTACACATACACATATGCATACACACATATGGATATTATTTCACTTAAGATAATCTCCCAATGACTAACTTACGTTCAAGCTAAAAATGTTCTAACTGATAACAGTTGAAAATGGAACTGGCTATTGTTCTGAATGCTAGAATATTTTCAAACAAGCATGACTTAACTTGAGTTCCTTCTTCAAACTGAGTGTTGTACTAAAGTCACTGTAGCCAATCTGGTAATAAAAATGTATTTTACAAGTGCCAGCACAATATATGTTTATGGGTCTACTGTTATCTCTGAAATGATCAGTTAGGTCTGAACAGGCAAACTATAAGGTAGGAGAAGAATAACTTTTTTATTCCTTAACATTAGCATGATTCTAGTTGGAGGAATCGTTCGTTAATAAAATCAGAGGGTGCCACCATGTGGTAAAGAGTTCTCTGGTGGAAGAGGCAGCCAGGTCAATTACACAGGAGATCATTGCTATCTCACAGAATTCCCAACACATCTGCTCATTAGAAAAAAAATAATGGTGTATCATTAAAATCTTGTGCTATATGTGACATAATCATGTACTTCAAGCAATCCTAATTTCTTATGCCTCAAAGCAATGCTGTTTTATGCCTAGCTTTGTTACAAAACTAAGTCCATGCGCTGAGCTCATAAGGGCAAAGAACTGAAATAAGATCTGGTATCTGACCAGATCTCAATGCAAACAGGCTTCTTAAAACGAGTCTGACATTTAAAACGTCCTCTCTAAAGTTTGAAACAATACCATCTTCTTATTTTCAAGTTTATGTAGCTGTAGCTCTATTAAAATTATAGAAAAACAAAACAAAATTTGTTGCTTTCACTACCTTATATTGTGCAAAGTCAAGTTTGGGTTGGGGACCATCACCAAAACATTCCTGATTCAGTCTGTGTATTCTTTCTTTCTCGCTTCTGTTTTCATCATTTATCCTTAAATCCACTGCAGGGTAGGGAGAAAAAAAAAAGAGGGAAAAAAAAAAGACAACTCTCAGCGAGTACAAATATTGCATTTGTTGATCAGATGAATGCCCCCCAAAAATTTGGAAATAATAATTTTAAAGTTTCATCACTATCTGTGTTTGATAAGTTAAATGGGTGCATGACATATATTTTCAGTTCTTACCAAGAGAGAAAACAAGCTAGTATGATAGGAGACACTGATCGTTACTTATTTTTCGTTTCACAAGTGCACTGAACATCATGAGGAAGTGCTCATATCTCCTAGTGACATCAATATTATCCATGGGTGGATAATATGTCAATATAACACATGCATTTCTTATTATGAATCTCATTTCACAATGCAGAAATATACAGATACACATTTTTAAGCACAAATCTTCCAAGTAAGGACATTCACACTTGTATTTAATTTAAAAATACACGTACCATTTTCTGTGAGTACATTCCTTTCCTGTAGTGGATAGTTGGTTTGGAAGTTCTAAATGAGGAAAAAATAAAAAGGAAAAAAACAGTTCTGCTTTTAGAGGCTTTAGCTGAAAACAGTTTTCTATATTTCTTTTCACTTTGTGTTCTGAAAGTGAGTGGTCACACTTTTGATAACTCCTAGACTACAAAACCCAGCTTTATTCTGAGAAAACACTCCCCATCCTATGATACAGCCTGTGGATGAACAGTTAAGTATCCATTCTAATACCTCCCCAAATATTACTCTACGAAACAGTGCAAAGAAGTCCCAGGAGCGAATTGGAGAGCTGCATAGACTGAGTTTAAACTTCCAGGAATAATAGTAGACACTAGGTGGCATATCCAGTAATTACATCACTACTGTAACGTTACCTTAAGCAAATCTATCCAACTCAGTGGTTCCATACCACTGTAACTTGATAATCTCTAAAAGAGGTGAATTTCCTATTGCTAGGGGGTGAGAACTAGGCCTGAAATAGAAGCAAGACTCATCTTCAGATGTACTTGTGAAGTGGCTCACCTGGCTGTACCTCTTAAACACAATATCTTTAAGGGAGTTTAAACAGTGACTTCGAAGCTCCATTTCACGGATGTCATGGTAATTGGAAGCAACAATCATTGCCTTGAAATACAAATTGAAACTGTTTTAG